GTCTGAGGGAGGAGGGGCTGGGGCCTGGACTCCTGGGTCTGAGGGAGGAGGGGCTGGGACCTGGACCCCTGGGTGCGGAGGGGAGCCGGGGAGCCAGGCACTGGGTGCTGTGGAAGTGCGGAATCGGGGCAGTTTCAGGTTTGAGCCCCTTTTCTGCTGCCTCACACAGGGCCTCAGTGACTTCTGCTCCAATCCAGACCCTTATGTCCTGAACCTGACCCAGGAGGAGACAGGGCTCAGCTCAGGTGATTTCCAAGGGCCCGGTGGGTCCGCCGGGTTGGGCAGTGCAGGCCCCGGCTTCCTCAGGCCTCCTCTGTGCCCGGTCCTGCCCAGGGTGGGGTGGGGGTACAGCCCGCCAGGCGAGACCCAGCCCTCTGGAAGGGAAGCAGGGCTCCTGGCTACTCCCCAGCTGGGAGCCCTCCTGGAGCCCCGCCACCGCCCAGGCCCAGACCCTCATCCCTTCCGCTCCCGCTGGCAGCGCCTCTCCTGGTGCGCTGGAAAAGAGGGCGGGATTAATACGCTGGTGCCAGGAAGAGAGAGGAGGGTCAGGAAAGGGTGCTTCTGGGCGTCAGGAATGGGGGCTTTCGCCCCCTGGAGAAAACTGGGGAGCACCATTAAGTCAGGGTTTCCCAGGGAGTACAGGGATGCGCACCAGCGCCCGCTCTGGCTGTGGCAGGAGCAGAAGGGACGCGGGGCTGGCGGGTCTCTGAAGGTAAGGCCATCTGGCTCCAGGAGGCCTCCAGAGCTGGGCTGAGGCCCCTAACCCTGCTAACCCCCCAGTCCCCGGCCTTCCCCTGGGAGGTCCCTGGGGGCCCAGGCTCATGGCCTCCTCCCCTCTCCTCCTCCCACTTCAGACATCCTGAGCTATTATTTCCTCTGCAACCAGGCCGTCTCCAACCCCTTCCAACAGGTTAGGGCTGCGGGCAAGGGAAAGGGGTGTTGAGGGAACCAGAAATCTGGACTCTGAAGGGAGGGGGAGGGACTGGGGCTGGGGCCTGGACTCCTGGGTTCCGGGGAGGATGCAGGCCAGGGGCCCAAGTGCTGTGTCCGGAGGAGAGGAAAGAGGGCCGGGGGCGTCGACTCCCGGGTCCTCCTCCCTCCCTTTCTCTTTCTGCAGAGGCTGACCCTGTCCCAGCGAGCTCTGGCCAACATCCACTCCCAGCTGCTGGGCCTGGAGAGAGAAGCTGTGCCTCAGTTCCCTTCAGCGCAGGTCGGTGGGTGGGCGCTCCCCAGACACGGGGACCCCAAGGGGAAGGCGGGAGGGGCACGGTGGAGCTGTGGGGCGTAGGTGGGACCCAAAGAACCGGACCCCTTGGCCGTGTGTGGGCGGGGCCCTGGGTTGTGGGCGGGGCCGCAGAGCTGGGCGGGGCCCTATCTTGTGGGCGGGGCCAGGGCGCTGGGCGAGCCTGACAAGTAGGTGGGAAAACGACCTGTCCTCGCCCTGCAGAAGCCTCTGCTGTCCTTGGAAGAGACTCTGAATGTGACAGAAGGAAACTTTCACCAGTTGGTGGCACTGCTGCACTGCCGTGGCCTGCACAAGGTGAACCCCCTTCCCCTTCCCAATTTCTTCTCCCACGGGGAGTCTTGGGAGCCTCTGCCTCGACCCACAGAACTAGCTCCTTCCTCTCCTTGATTTATCTGTCCTATATCTATTCTCTACCTGTCGTCTACCTACCTATCAAGCATTATCCATATTCCTTCCCTCCTCCCTCCCTTTCCCCCCACCAACTCCCGCACTCCTCCCTGGGTCCCCATCCCACCCTCCCCCTCCATTCCTGCCACCTTTTCCTTCCTTGTCTTCTCTCCTCTCTCCTTCCTCCTGCCTCTCCCTCCCTCCTAGAGGCTGCCGCTCAGTGAGTTCAGGAGTAAGACTGCCTGGGTTCCAGTCCTAGCTCTTGACCAAGGGCAAGTCACCTAACTTCTGTGTACCTCAGTTAGTTCCCTCACTTATAAAACTGGGATTGCAAGAGTGGGCACCTGTCCAGCTCCCCTGGGGCGTATGCTGTTCATACACTGGACAGGCAGGGGCGGGCAGGGTGCCCAGGAGGAAAGATATCTGGTGTCCTGTGGACTCCGGCTTGGGCTTTGCTGTAGGCTGCACGGCCACAGGCAGGTGAGCATGGCTGACTCTGCTTCCCACCCGTACCGTGAGGAAGGACGAGTGTTATTATTATTTTTTTTTTAACTGGATGGTTGTGAGGATTGAAAAAAAAAAATTCCTTATAAAACAGTAGGAGCTGACCAGGCGCAGAGGCTCACACCTGTAATCCCAGCACTTTGGGAGGCCGAGGCGGGCGGATCACCTGAGGTCAGGAGTTCAAGACCAGCCTGGCCAACATGGTGAAACCCCGTCTCTACTAAAAATACAAAAAGTTAGCCAGGCGCGGTGGTGGCGCCCACCTATAATCCCAACTACTCGGGAGGCTGAGGCAGGAGAATTACTTGAACCCGTGAGGCAGAGGTTGCAGTGAGCCGAGATTGCGCCACTGCACTCCAGCCTGGGCGACAAGAGCGAAACTCTGTCACAAACAAACAGACAAACAAAACCAGTGAGAGCTGTTCGAAAACACACACCCGAGGATGCCTTTCCCGGGCCAGTCTGCCCATCACAGACCGCACGTGTGCATAGCTTCACCGAGTACCTGACCCTGTTGCGTTTCACAGGTGGTAACTCATCGATGACTCATAACAATGCTATGAGGAAGGAACTATGATTATCCCACTGAACAGACTTAGAAGATGAGGTGCAGAGTTGAGGGACTTTCCCAAGGTCCCACCAGCCAGCCTGTGCACACTGAAGAGAGAGGGACCTTCCGGAGGGCCCCACCCTCTGCCCCCCACAGCCAGGCAGTTGCCCAGTCTTGTCCTTTCTGCTTCTGGAATGCCTTTATCCATCTACTGTCAATGCCCAATGCCCCTACTGCAGCTGAGGCCTCGTTCTGTCTGCTGGAGAAGGAAGCATGGTCCCTTCCCCATCTGTCCCCCCATGGACCCTAGAATAGGGCTGCCAGATTCAGCAAACAGCAAACCACTCTGCTGTAAGTATGCCCGGTGCAATGCTGGGGAGATACTTACCCTAGAAAATTATGTATCTGTCCTCCTCCTTCCCTTCCCTCCCTCCACAAAGGGGTCTGGGGGTCCTGTATTCCAGCCCAGTTTCTGCCTAGGCCACAGAAAACTGCCTGGACCCCGGTTTATCCTTATGGGCATCTGATATTCAAATTGAACTGGAAGTCCTGAATTTGATCTGGCAACCCTACCCAAAAGGGATTCATCTACACCATACCTGGACCTGAGCTTTCCCTGGTCTGGCTCAGACGGACCCCTTCTGTGGCTCCCACTGCCCCCCACCCTTCTGAAATTGGCATTCCGAAAAGGGAGTGGGGAGCAAGCACTGAAGCCATGTTCAGAATTGCCGACTATTGAGCTGGGAAAGGTTGGGCCCCCACCCAGCCCAGGGCTGCCCTGATCTTTTGCATAAGGATAAACTGGGGTCCAGGCACTTTTCTGTGGCCTAGGCAGAAACTGGGCCGGAATACAGGCCCCCAGACTCCTTCGTGGAGGGAGGGAAGGGAAGGAGGAGGACAGATCACTCTACCCTCCCCTACGGCCGCACCATGAGACCCTGGGCTTCCATCTCCCCTGTCAGGGCATCAGGGTCCTCACAGATTAAAAATCAAGAATAATCAGCCAGGCCGGGCACTGTGGCTCATGCCCCTAATCCCAGCGTTTTGGGAGACCAAGGTGGGTGGATCACCTGAGGTCAGGAGTTTGAGAACCGCCTGGCCAACATGGCGAAATCCCATCTCTACTAAAAATACAGAAAAACTAGCCAGGCGTGGTGACGCACCCCTGCATTCCCAGCTACTTAGGAGGCTGAGGCACGAGAATTGCTTGAACCGGGGTGGTGGAGATTGCAGTGAGCTGAGATCATGCCACTGCACTCCAGCCTGGGCGACACAGTGATCATCCATCTCAAAGAAAAAAAAAATAAAATAAAATAAAGGGGGCTGGGCATGGGTGCCTTGTGCCTATAATCCCAGCACTTTGGGAGGCCCAGTGGGGCAGATCAGAACTCCTTGAGCTCAGGAGTTCAAGACCAGCCTGGCCAACATGGTGAAACCCCATCTCTATTTTAACATTAAAAAAAAAAAAAAATCAACAATAAGGGACATCAGGGATGAGGAGGAAGGAGAGGGTATGCGCTGGAGCCTAAGTGAATCAGCTCCATCTCACTTCTGCCCTTTCCAGACTGTGTGATTCCGGACAAGTAACTTGCCCTCTCTGGGCTGCAACTTCTTTCCACCATTGCAAAAGGCAGCAGCGTGTGGGGGTCAGTGTCTGCCTGGCAGGGCTGTTGTGAGGATGAAGGACAGTGTGCATGTACCACTACTCTCAAAACAGAGCCTCCATTGCCCCGACAGGTCCCTACCCTGCCCTCACTGGCTTAGTAACAGACACCCCACCTCAACCAGGTGTTCCTGCCAGAAACTCAGGCTTATCCTTCCACAACCAGCTCCCTGCTCTTACCTCCCACAACCATTCTCGGAACAAGTTCTGTTGGCCCTTCCTCTGAAACCTATCTGGACTCCCACCACTGTTCCTACCTCCACCACTGTGCCCGGGTCCCCGCATCCTAAACGCCATGACCGCAGGGGCCTCTTCCCTGTCCCCCCCTCGCCTACCCCCGTCTGTCCTGCATGCAGCAGCCAGCCAGCCGGGTGATCCTTTTAAAACACAATCCGATCAAGTTCTTCCTCTGCTTAAAACCCTTGGTGATTCCCCCTGGACACGGATTAAAATCCCTGCTCCTCGCCCTGACCTACAAGGGCCTGGGTGGTCAGTCCTGGATACGTCTGCCTCTGGCCTCAGCCCTTCCCAGCTTCCTCTGCACAGCCCTCTGCCTGGCTCTTTCCTGGAGGACCCATCCCTGCTGGTGGGGTCACCCGACCTACTCCCACCCTGCACTGACCCTCGCCCTCCTACCTCGTCGCACACACCACCCTCTGAGATGACCTTCTCTGTCCTGTTTACCGAAGTTTCCTGGTACTGGGGGCAGCGCCCGGGGCGGAGCAGGCTCTGTCAACCCCCACTGAGTGCATTAGGCTGTGCAGGTGCTTAGCATTCGGTGAAGGCCGCTTCTGCTGATTTCTTGGGATGACAGTCATCAGAGCCAGCATTTGTTGGCGTGTTGAGTGTGTATTGTGTGTGTGGTGTCATCCTGAGCCACTGGTTGGTTCTTTTACGTGCCGTTCCATGTGCTGTAGCCCCCACGGACACTTGACTGGGTGCAGAGTTGCTGTTGGTTGCCACATCGCGGGAGGGGGTCCTCCTGGCATCTGGTGGGTGGAACTGAGCGGTGCTGCTCAGCACCCCACAACACACAGGGCAGTGCCGTCACCACAGAGAATGATCTGGCTCAAAATGTCAGCAGGGCCCAGGTTATGAAGCCCTCACCCCTGGGCCAAGGCGGAGCTGGCGGTGGCTGGCCTGCGGGCGCTTGGTACAGGAGAGGATGCTTCTGCAGGGGGTGCCGCTGCCGAGACGCAGAAGGGAAACAGGAGGGGCAGTTCTCAGGTTCCTGGGTAGATGAAGATGGAGGAGAGGGCCCAGGGCTGGTGGGAGATGCTGGACTGGTTCTGGATGTGGGGTGCTGGTGGGGAAGGATCCATGTGAAAGGGAGATGGGGACCTGCAATGACACAGGGTTGGGGGGGGGTGTGCAGCTCAGGAGACGCCAAGTCTGGAGTCTGTGCAATTAATTTCTGAGTGCCAGGCCTATCACACCAACGACCCCACTGTATTCTCAGAACTGCCCTTTGACAGGGGAAACTGAGTCACAGAGCAGTCAGCTGACGTGTGCAGTACCACAGCTGGGAGGACAGCCAGACTGGTGTGCACAGTGTGTGCTGGTGGGGGAGGGGGTGGGGGCACTGCCCGATGACGCCCTCCCCTCAGGACTATGGCGCAGCCCTGCGGGGCCTGTGCGAAGACGCCCTGGAAGGCCTGCTCTTCCTGCTGCTCTTCTCCCTGCTGTCCGCAGGAGCACTGGCCACTGCACTCTGCAGCCTGCCCCGAGCCTGGGCCCTCTTCCCACCCAGGTCAGGAGCAGGGGAGGGCAGGGTCCTGGGGAGCGGGGGCAGCACCTGGGGACCATGGTTGGGGTGGGGGGTGCAGCCTCCTGATGGGTCCCCATCCCGCCTCTCTGCCATGCCCCGCATCAAACCCCAGTGACGACTACGATGACACAGACGATGACGACCCTTTCAACCCTCAGGTACTGGACGCCTGGGCCTGAGGGAGGAGGGGCTGGGGTCCTGGACTCCTGGGTCTGAGGGAGGAGGGGCTGGGGGCCTGGACTCCTGGGTCTGAGGGAGGAGGGGCTGGGGGCCTGGACTCCTGAGTCTAAGGGAGGAGGGGCTGGGGGCCTGGACTCCTGAGTCTAAGGGAGGAGGGGCTGGGGGCCTGGACTCCTGGGTCTGAGGGAGGAGGGGCTGGGGTCTGGACTCCTGGGTCTGAGGGAGGAGGG